AATATGTACAATGGGCGATCTTATCGCAGAATGAATTGTGTATAGGTACTTTTAATACTACACATAGAAGTTAGGCTTATCAGTTAAGTCAAAAAATTAAAACATAAAATTACTCAAAATAAACGAAAAAGAATCTACATTTAGCACTCTATTATTACAGCTGCACAATGTTAATATCTTAGTCAGTAGTCTTATTCTGACAATAACAGCAGCTTCGACATTTATTTTCTACTTTTGCAAAAGTTCTACAGAATGAAACGCGCTGCCAGTATTCTGTTGGGACCCTATTTTTATTCCTACCCGTATTGATCGGGAGATGTAGAAAAAACTGTGTCAGGTATTACCTATTATGTGCAAGTAGAAAGAGGGAAACAAGAGCTATTGGACGCCATATTTTTCTGTTACCATTTGTATTTTAATATTGAACATTTCTTTCTAATATTCTTCGTCTATTTAAAAAGGCTTTCATTGGCTGGCGTTGAAAGACTTGTACTTACGAAGACTTTTGTTTTGCTCGTCAATGTTGGTCCTAACTTATTTGTAAATACGGCCTAGCCTTCTTGTAACTCATGTCAATCAATGACAACGTTATATCGATTCATCATCATTCACATTTGCATTAAAAGGTCATTTGCAAAGCTATTTTGTGGTACATCAGCAAACATGATTATAAAATTTAAGAACTTCACTTCTAATGGCCATTTTCAGGAAAATGTTCGGACTTTAGTTTTTCAATTTCTAGCCTCTCAAAGGCTATAATAATCTGATTAACGAAAAATTAATATAAGTACTAGGAAGGTACCTATTCGAGCAGTACATTGTTTTTCCTCTTGGTAAAATCAGCCATGAGATTGTTTATCCAGCTTGAAGTGAGTTACCTCCGGTGTAAACAAAGTTTATGTCATATTCTACTAACTATTACTTACATGTTAAATGTTCTAAGTAGTGACAGGACTAGACGTAACTTTCCCCTGATACTTAGTACTGCTGTATACTGTATAGAAATTAGCATCAGTTCAATTCCATTTCTGTGTTTACGCTGTTCATACTGCTACTATATACTGTTTATTATAATATCAATATAAGAATTTCGTACTTCTATTGTAATTTAACTGCAGGCTACTTATCCTCCAGACAGACAGGATTTTCTCAGGAAATTTATGGAACACAGTAATTTCATGTCAATAAGTTCCATGGATAAAGTAATTATTCGGCATTCGATTTCAAAAATTCAAAATGATTTTAAATTGTTGAGTCGAACTGATTGTTAGCCTAGATTATAGACTAGACCTTTTTAGTTTGCTCTTTTTCGTAACAGGTGCATTTTGTTATCATAAAAGTCTAATCAACAATCTAAAACATTTGTGCAACAACGTTTTGCAGAAGCGACGTGTTGTTTATCGAGTTACGGAGTTATTCAGATAAAACTGGTCAGTTATGTCACGCAGACTGCCTGACCCACTGCTGTTATGTACATCTCATTTTCTACTAACACACAAAACTAGAAATTTTCACGTTTGCAATGTATTTGTATTCATTGGCCAAGTTTTCTCTTCGTAGGTCGTGGATCAACGAGAACTATAAGATATTATGATTCGAGATTGAAGCATTGTGATCGTAATTTCTTGTTCATTCAAAATATTGACACACATAACATCACGCCTTTTATCCCCGAAGGGGTAGGCAGAGGTGTACATTATGCCACTGTACAATGTAACACCCACTTTTCACTATTTATGTTATGAGTCCCATGTAATAGGGGGTGAGCCTATTGCCATATACCGGGCACAATTCCAGACTCCGTGCTACCACTGGGAATTTTTTGAAAAACCCAGTAATACTTTGCCCGACCCGGGAATCGAACCCGAGACCCCTTGCCCGGCAGTCGCACTTGCGACCACTCGGACAATGAGGCAGTCAAAATATTGAATCGTCTTTTAAGGAGCCTATTGTAGTTATAGTTATAGGTATGTATATATGTATGAGTGTGAGGGCTTGGACTTAGTTATTTGTGTTAAGCATTTCCCTGTTACGTACATACTTATTGCTCAATCGGAAAATCTAAAGGTGTAGTGAGATCGTTGCAAAAACGAAATATAATACTGTACCTTTTAAACTTAGATAAGGATACGATGTAATTACTAATTACTTGTAACATCCTGTTTTAGACTTTATTATCATGATAATGAAATCAAAAATTGAAATGAAATCCCAGAACTTTGTGGTCGGTAAATAGACACGTTACTGACCAATAAGTTAGTTACCGCCTTACCGGCCCTAATCAAAAAGAAATTAACAGTTAATTGAACCAATTTTAAAATATATTTTCACTTACATGTAACACCTATACAAGTACGAGTATATTATTTAGCGAAAGAGAAAGGTCTGCGATCTATCAACACTCCACGCGGTGTTACGTCACCGTCGTCATCGCACAGATGCGTACGCGCAGCCTTCGGGCGTCCGCACCAAATGACAAATCGATTCCGTTAATTTGCTTTTGAATGTATGACTAATTATGTTCAGTGGTATCTAGGTAATTGTGCTTCAAGATTTTGCGTGAAGTAGGTTTAATAATGGATTTAATAACGTTGTTTTTATTTTGTACTAGCTTTTCCCAGTCGCTTCGCCCGCGTTCTCATGGAATTAAAAGTGCCGTGTGTTATTCCTGACCATAATCTAACCCTGTTCCAAATTTCATCTCGATCCGTTCAGCTGTTTTGATGTGAAAGAGTAACACACACAAACACACACACACACACACACACACACACACATACATACATACATCCTTACGAACTTTCGAATTTATAATATTAGTAGCAAGGATAGTAGGATATTATACGCACACAATAGGGTAGTTGCCAGGGAATGAAAATTAAAAATCTAATTAGTCCGTCAGTTAGATAATGAAAAAATATTTACAATCCTTACTAATATTATAAATCAGAAAGTGAGTTTGTTTGTTTGTTTGTTCCGCTTTCACGCCAAAACTATTAAACCGATTGCTTTGAATTTTTGCAGACGTAAAGTTATAAGTCTGGATTAAATAATAGGGTACTTTTTATCCCGGAAAAATTTGATATTCCAGAGGGATAAAGATTGGTATAGATGGCGCTGTGGGTATTGGTATATGTCACATAGGCTACTTTTTATCGCGGGTAAAAGCTAGTACTTAATAAAATGGAGTTAAGTTTAGGAATGGGAGGTCGTTACGTCACTAAGTGCTATAAAATGTAGCGTATTGTGACGTCACACGATATTTCAGATTATTTTATCGTCGAAAGTATTTAATTTTGTGAGAAAAGAAAAAATACGTGTCTAATGTTGTAAATTAATCCACCAGACGGACATTAAAATAAAATTTAGGCAACTACCCTATTGGTAGCGTAATACTCTTTTAATTTATAGAGTCAGATATTCTCTCGATCGATATAGTAACGTTCACCATTCATCCATCATAAACACATGTATTGCATAAAGTTTCTACAAATATACGAGTATGAAGTGGGCCAACGTCTATAGTATACCAACAACAAAATAATAGGTGTACCATCGTTTAGATATGTTTTTAATATCCGGCTTCTTTTTCCTTAAACTAAATTGGTGATATAACTACACACAGATGGTCGGATCTCATCAAATTGTAAGACTTCCGCGCCTTGTGAAATGCCTGGGCAGATTCACAAGTTTTGCTAATTAATCTCCGATTGCGAAATTTAAAAGTTGATTTAGCAGTCACAATGATGCAGGTTGGGCTTCAAGATTTATGATTCGTATTTCCTTCTTTATTTAAATTTAATTTTTTGGTGTTAACGTGACGTTGTTTGAAGATGCGATTTTTAAGGATGCTTTTATAAAATAAACAAGTAACTATCACATATATAAATGATGTAGTTTTCATGTCAAAGTATTACTATAATACATAACATAACATCACGCCTTTTATCTCCGAATGGGTAGGCAGAGGTACACCTTATGGCACTTAATGCCATTGTACAATGTAGCACCCACTTTTCACTATTATGTTATGAGCCCCATGTAATATGGGGTGAGCCTATTGCCATATACCGGGCACAATTCCAGACTCCGCATTAATACTGAGGTTTTTTTAAAAACCCTGTAATACTTTGCTCGACCCGGTAATCGAACCCAAAACCCCTAGTCGCACTTGCGTCCACTCGGCCAACGAGGCAGTCAATTACTATAACTACCCTTATTATAATTATCCTTACTACATTTAGAAGTATACTAACATAATTCACGTTAGACACGTGATGAAGAAGTTTTTCACCAGTCTTATGACTACAATCAGTCGGAATGCAATGTGCAGGTACCTAATATTATTGTATAACGATATTATCTGAACAATGCGGTTATGTTGGCTTGAATACTGATAATGCATACTTGATACTATGCTCGAAGGCTTTGTGCTAAGGCCATACTTTGCTTACATAAAGCCGCGGAGGACTTAACAGTTTGCCGGGGCCCCGGTTCGAAGTACAGGAGTAGGAACGGGGTGATATTTAGTCAGTTAGAGTCTGACACTCCTTCTCGCCTTCCCCGGGGGCGGGAGGAATAATTGGAGCATTTTCCCTCCCAAAAAAAATCCTTACAGTTCCTGCTAATAATTGCTAAACAGAAGAGTTAACTGCAAGTTACAATGATATAAGTATTTTATTTGAAAATAAAATATTATATATTTCGGATGGCATAATATTATACCTCTATATAGGAAGAATGAGATGGCATCAATAATCAACCTCATCAAATAAGGTTGGAATCGTGACAATGCATAAGTTAATGGTAGATTGTAATTAATGAGTGCGTAGACGGCATAGTAGGTACTGAATATGTCGTTATTTATTGTACGCCTGCGCAGGTGTTTAATGTACATACTTTGGTCTCTCGTTGTACCTACCTATTGTCGGCAAGAAGTCAAGTCATGACTAGACAGTTTCTGGCATGTCTTCGGTTCTAATCTTAATTAGGGCTCTTACCTTAAAGAAGATTCCGAGGTAATATTTCTTCTCTCCAGATTTGAGTAGAGGCATCGTCCACCGCGTCACGCCGAGGTCGTCATCGTTACAGCTTGAACATTCTGCAAACAAGAGGACATCATTATATTAATGGGTGCATCGCTATAATAAATTATTTTGTCAAATTCTTCAAGGAAATGTCAGTCCATTCGTCAAACATGACAAATGCAAATTAGCATAATGATACATCAATCGATTGAAAAGGACAGCATAATTAATGAAATTGAAAAATGCGACTCGCATCCTTGTCTGCCGAATTGATCCAAATCCAATCAAATAAATGGATTAAAAGATTTATTTTGGAAATCTAATCAATTTAATCTCCAATGCGACAGATGTTCTATCAATGCAGGCAATTATACCGAATCAAATCGATTCACAAGAATTTGAATGTTTCCGAAAATAAATAATTTGGTTTTATGAGGTCAGATCTTTGTCATAAATAGGTGATCTAATTTTTGATTAAAAAAATTCAAAATTTGAATAATGTCCAAAATTTTAATAATAAATCAGATGTTATGGTTAGTGGGCTCAATCAAAGGTTAAATAAGGAACACATTTTTAGCATTTTGATTGATTGATTTAGTTTGAAAGTATCAAAAATAAAAAAGGTCAAGTTTAAATATTTTCTGGTGATCGGTTCCTCGCGTTTCCCTAATAAATCTGATGTAACAGTTTGCCAATTAACTTTAATGACTAAGGAGATCAGAGATTTATTCGACTAATGATTCCATATTAAAGGATCGAATAATCGATTTGGTAAATCGATGCGTTATCGATTTCGTAATTCGACCTTCTTGGCTGTATAATAAAGTATTGTGTTTAGGTTGGTCGAGATTGCGTGAGTCCCGTAATCGGGCGAAAATGGGACGTTTATGGAAACTTGTTAACTATAATGACATAGTGCCGTCAAGTGTTTCTGTTACATGAGTACATGATACATACGACTAATAATGTAGAAAGTTTGTATGTGAGAGAATTATTTGTGTTATTATCATGTTATGGTTTTGTTTGTTGTTGTCTCTGTTTCGTGTGTTGTGTAACAGTGATTGAGTTTCTATGGAAGTACGTAATCGCGTAGTTAGGTGATATGTAACACGCAACCACATGCTTTGAATCACAGGGATTTATTTATGCACCACTAGCTTTTACCCGCGGCTTCGCTCGCGTCACAAAAGGATAAAAAATAGCCTATGTGACATATCAATACAAACAGCGCAGCGCCATCTATACCAATACTTTAGTTTTCCCTCGGGAATATCAATTTTTTCCGGGATACAAAGTACCCTATTATTTAATCCGGACTTTTAACTTTACGTCTGCAAAAATTCAAAGCAAAGGTTAAGTAGTTACGGTGTGAAAACGGAACAAACAAACAAAAAAACTCACTTTCCATTTTATAATATTTGTAAGGATGAATTTGATTTTCATATTCAAGTATGAATTTGTAATGTTTATATTGTTTAAGTGTGATAATAAGAGATTTAGAATGTAGCACCTAAATACTCAGGTAATATTAATACATTTAAGTATCACCTAACATCATAAACACCCTTGGCTCATCTTAAATTAGGGTAACATATAACATAGGAAGTGTCAAAGACGTGTTATACAGGTCAACAAGCATATTGTTCTACTCCGGATGTACCACTTATATTAAGATTCTATAGAAAATCAAAGCATTTTTAAATTTTTGCGTTTGTCATAAGTATTTTTTTTACTCAGCTAACCAGTGATATCAATAAACTTAAATTGACCCACACGCCGATGAATGTAAAACCCGCTATGATTGTTTTTCGGTTGCTATGTTAAAAATTTAGCTCACTTTATCACTAAAAAATAAAACTTGAGCAAAAATAGACTTTAATCCTAGTTCAATGGAAGTTTAAAAAATAAATTATGCAAGATTATTATAAGTATTTTGTATTCGAATTATACGGGTTATTGTGGTCTTTAAGTTTCGTTGTGATTTGTGATTGAGAGGATAAATCTGTTCAGTCTTTGTAAGTGACAAGTAAAATTCCAATTATTATCTTTTTTGACTTACTCATGTACTCAGTTCACGAGGAACTCGACCAGTTTTAAATAATTATGTGAGTAAGCCGAAAAACATAATAATTAATTGAGTATGTCTCACATAAATAAAGTAAAATATCAGTATTTTATTGTCACTTCCTGTTTAATATGAAGGAACCTAATTATGTATAAAAACATTCTTTCACCAGTAAAGTTTATTGTATTGCATTTGAAATAGGTATGTATAGTGTACAGTCACTTTGTACAAATGACTGCTACATACTAGCCAAACCTGATTAAACCAGTATGAACTAACAAAAAATGAAATCAAGTTAAAAATACATGCAAATAAATAAATATAATTAGAATGCAACTATTAATAACAAGACTATTTTTGCCTTTGTATTATGAATTAATTAAACAAAACAACATTGAAACGACCATGAGATAAGTTGAAGGATTGAGAAATACATATATCAACATTTAAACTGATTTAAAAAACAACATGCGTAGATTCATGTCATTAAAAACTAAATGAAATTGGATGCTTAGTCATCGACGAAATTAATAAAATCTTTGTATGTAGGAATGCGGCCTAGCATCTTGTTACTGTTCAATACACAAGTAACCTTTTCAAACAAGTTTTCACAATTTTAGCACTTTTCCGACAAGACTACAATGTGAATAAAATATGAAGGGTCAAATTCAAAGTAGACATGGTCTACAAGATCACGAGCCATCAGACCACCACGGATGGGGCCCAATAGGGCTGATGCCGATACGGAGCCGCGAAGAACCTAACGGGTTACTGGGGCTCCGGCTCGAAGTGCAGGAGTAGGAACGGGGTGGTTTTTAGTCAGTAAGAGTCTGACTTCTCCCGGCTCACCCAGGCGGGAGAAGTCATTGGACGATTTTACCCCCACAAAAAAAAAGTAGGCACTGAAGTATTAAAACATGCATATAACTATGTTTAATGGTCATTAAGTGAATCGAGGTATTTTGTAAGAAACTAAAGTCCATATAGGTTAATTGTGTGCACAATTCTAGTACAGAACAGAGTGGAAGATATAAGTTTATAGACAGTAGTTAGACATAATTGCTGTTACGCATTTAATATCTTTTTAATTTCAATCAAACAGTAGCCCTCAGGCGAGACCAAATATTTGAGTGCCCACATACATCGATTAAAATGAAACTCTAATTAAATTCTTGCATATAAATATGTTTTGGGTTCTTCAAATTTCTTTTGTGACCCGTACATTGCCTAATAAGAATCGCACCTGTTTAAAATTATGCCTTCTTGACATTTAGTACGTCTATCAAATGAAGAAACAACGGACAAAGGTCAACTATTCCGTCCAGTCTTGTTTCAAAATGTTGTGGATAAACAAACATTATCGTTAAGTAGTATTAGTATATATAGAGTTAGAGGTCATCAATTCGTGTCAGTTAAGTGTTTGAGTTAGTGTTAGAAATGGTGCGTTTTCGCATTTGATGCAACATGCCATTCAGAATTTGCGGTCAATTATTGGCACATGTTTGTCGTTTTTAATTGACGTGCCATTACCTACTTTAATACTGAAGAGATTTGGAGTCAAATCTTTGTTTACATTTATGTGGTTAGGCTTTCGCTTTTCTTACAATAGGTTCTCATTAAAAATCTTTAAATTATCCTCGGCGTTGCATCACGGCTTAAAATTCTTTTATTTCATTTTTGGTGTCTTCAAGAATGCATCTTTTTATTGATTGATTGATGGGTCGTATAGACCACTCCTTAAATTCTTTGTTGATTCGAAAATAAAAAGTCCAATGCATTGTATTCAATGATAAAGATTTTACATTGTTCTCACGTGTACGTGATGGCATTTCAGTTACCGAAAAGGAATAAAAAACCCACCACACGGATCTCGAAAGTTATTGGGAATTTTTACATTACCTAAGATTACGTCTCTGAAAATGATTCGACTCTTCTTTGAAGTTCTTAGCCATGAAGTCACGACCTTCTTTCTCTTGAGACAATCATTATGATCAAGGTCCTACAATGACCTTGTTGTCATTGGTTCTAAGAAACAAGGATGTTGATTAATTTTCTATTTTGTTCAACTTTACTATCGTTCAAGCTTATTAAAGTTTCAGGTAACGAACGGCTTTGATTTTCTCAAATTGACGATGTTGGAAAAATGCAATACAAAAGCGTAATTGAACATTAAGAACCTCTCAAACCCATCTTCCAGTTGTCGATATTATAGCAACCATCTAATATAAAGACCTTACTCCAGCAGTGGTCTATTACGGGTCGGTAATGAAGATAATAATGATAATTCCTGCAAACACATTACCTGCTTTGTTCAAGCCATTCAAGCTGTTGCCAATAGGGCTTTGGTAGCTGACGGTCGCGGTGCTTTCGATCAGAGCCATCACCAGGACGAGACCACTGAAGAGCTGCTTTTTGCACATCATTGTTGATCACTTTGACACTATTCCCTTAAAGATTTAATCACAAAGTACACGCCTATTTCTGAATATAAAAACTTCGTCCGTCAGTCTCACTTACTCTAATGAGGTATCGGTAAAGAACTAAAGTCATTAAAATACATAAGGATTTCCGTCCGTAACTCGGTCAGCGGTTAAAATTCCTAAGTTACTGTAAACATATGATCTTGGAATTTGTCGGTAATTCTGTTATCTTACTAATGATCTATTAATTATGTATGTACAAAACAGTTCCGGTAGGCCGTGGATCGTGGATGGTATTCGGTTCTTCCTTCATACTTTATGGATGGCATAATATCTATATTATTTTATACAGTTTGAAGGATACACGCATGATGTTGCATTAGATTAGATCATTTCCGACGCGGAACATCATTACCATATTCGTATTTTTCCATTCCAAGATGATCCATATTAATGGAGTGGGGTGTATTTTTATTAGGATAACACTTGCTCCTACAAATGTGATTTATTTTGGTATAAAATGCATATATACATATTATACCATATTAATGTGTTAATGTACTGCCATTAAGTATTTATATTGCATTCA